GGATATATTGTATCGTGACCCCTCTGTCATGATATGTATCGTATTGCCAAATTCTTGCCAATACACAGCCCTATTGATTACCAGACAAAAGGGCTCGACACACAGGGAGCAACAAACYACAGCGATTAACAGCTGTCATCGCAGCCAGGGTGAAACCCGACACACGGGACGTGATAGTGATTGCAGCGTTGCGAATCACACTCTCGGGTCACTTGTCTTCAGGAAATTTGATTGGTTCTTCTACTGCCTCTTGTAAAGGTTATTGGTGGTTCGCAAAAAAGTGGGGTGTGCATTATGGACGTGTAAACTAAACATATCTTGCGATGCTAATATTGAAAAACAAACGCACACCAAGATACAATTTTATGAGGAACAACTTACCAGATAACTTCACCCTGGRGCCAACAAATTCCCACAAAGCTGCCTTTTTTAGTAATCACTTGGTGAAAGTGTTAGCTAGTGTGCGCACTGTTGATACATGAGGCCCACATCTGTTGGTCGTCTTTCCAGGTTTTTTTGATCAGACTCAACTGAGAATGTTGTAAATGTCTGTCCAACGCCCTCAGTGTTAGGTTTGTGTTTTCTGTCACCTCAAAGCACCTCTCAGTGTTTTGATGTACACTTTCTTAAAGTAGGTGATCACTTGTTTGTTCAAGATGTTTGTCAGTCCTTGTGTATTGTCAGACTTTAGACCAGGGGTGTCAAACTCATTTTCACTGAGGGCCACATGAGCGTTATGGTGGCCCTTAAAGGGCCACTTATAATGAACTTTGATGTTTCATGTTTAACTTTGACTAAACAGTGTTTTAACACATCCTCTTTTAAACACTGATAAGAACTAAGTGTATGACTGACTAAATCTGTAATAAATACAGAAATATTATTAAAAGTAAAACAAAAAAATGTTTTACTCACTGATGAGTTTCTAGTGAGTAGCTGCATTATGGCAGATTTAGTTTATGTTTGATGGTGACTTTAAAGCAGTATTTTCAGACATTAATACTGAGATATCCAACTAAATTGCTCAGTTACTTAAAGCAAACAGTTCAGTGACATGAATTTTTTTAATTTATTTTTATTTTATTTATTTTTATTAAATTAATTTTGTTGCATTTAACCATAAATTTAAAGTTTACATTGATATAAGAAACAAATTTCATGTTAAGTTTAAAAAGCGGGCCACACGGGAGTCACCCGTGGGCCAAATGTGGCCCGCGGGCCTTGTATTTGACACATGCTTTAGACTGTCACCAGCTAGCTGTTAATCAAACACAGCTTTTCAACCTCAATTAATAACTTGTGTGTATCTGCAAACCGGTCATTCCTTAGGACACTTCTGTTTTGTTATAATTTTTTTTTAATAAAAAGATAGTTGAAGGCCAGACAAATAGCCTCACAAGTCTCATGCTTTTCATTGAGTTCATATTTCACCTCAGATGCAATTCAGTCTGTTCTCCTGTAGACATGGTGATGGGCACAAGAAAATCCTCAAGTAGCTGCAGCAGCTCTGATTGGAGTGAGAAAACAAGCTGCAGAAGTGTGTAAAGGTGGATGTGGAGTAATTCAGGATTAGGAGGGAAACAATTTTGGGGACCAAACACTGTTTGTATCATGGAGAATTAGTGCTTAAATTTTTGTTTTACTGTACTTCAGAACTTCAGACTTGATGATGCTATGACTGCTGTACGGCAGCCATGTTGTGTGAAAATGTATTGTATCAATTGTGAGCATAGTGTGGTGGGTAAACGCACACGTCTGTGCACCCTGCCAGTAGGCCTGTCGCGTTAGTCAATAAATCAACTAATTGCACGATAAATTATTTTGAGGTCAGTAAAAAAAATGKGGWCGATAAGTTTCATTTTCCTGCTTGTTGGTTTACTTCGTCTCTCTCCCTCTCTGTGCTCCACTACACAGGAGCTCAGCTGACTCCTCCCCTCCTGTTTTCTTAGTGTCAGGAGGAGTGAACTCTCGCTTTAGCATGAGAGCTCGTAGCAATAACAAACTAAAGAAACGTTTCAAAGCAGAACACGGCTGCTGCAGTGTCCTAGAGTTTGAATTTTGCTGCGAGGAGACACAGAGAGAGAGGAGGAGAAGGGGTGGGGGCTGAAACTCCCCCAGACCCYCGACAAACTCGTCAAGACTTTACCTGTAGCTCCCAAAAAGCTGTCCCAACAACTCATGAGGAAAACTCTGAATGTCTGATTTCCTCCCCCGCAGTGCTCTGCTTGTCTCCTCACTGACTGTCCCCTCCTCACACACACACACATAGACACGTTTGTTCTTCTATCCTTGTGGGGACATTGCATTGACTTTCATTCATTTACCAGTATTTTCTTTTACCATTTGAGCCTAAACCTAGCCTAAACTTTACATGGGATGTGAACTGGGCTTATGTCCCCATAAGAAACAGTGGGTCCTCACCAGGCTGTGTAGTTTGCTTCATCTCTAAAGAGATGCTGCTCTTTAATATTGTTTATTTATTGTCTTAGTTGTGTGTGGTGTTTAATTTACATTTTGTTGTTATTTGGTTTAGGTAGTCAGACTCTGACTACTGGATTACTCAGCTGGGGGTCCTGATGCATCTCAGTAACCCAGGTAGAAAAATCAAAAAGAAAAATAGGTAAGTCCTCTGGATTGGTTCTCTTTAATGAAACATTTCGTTTCTCCTCCAAGAGACTTCTTCCATCTGAGGAGTTTCAGGTGAACTCAGCCTTATAAGCAC